GCGTTCCATCATAGAGAAGGCGCGCGATTCAACTAACCTTGCATGACGGACGCCCGTGGGAGCAGATCGATTGATTTTGGTCGGACGGCTCGTCGCAGGCATGGCGCGACGCAATGGCGCACAACGTCACGTCGTTGCCGGGCAAGTTGATGGTCCACTAATACGTTCTCTTGTCAAAGGACCTCTGCTGGGAGACGCATGCGTCGGGCAGGTACTGGCTAGTGGCCAGTTCTAATAACAATAGATGATGATGATAATGATGATAATAATAATAATAACAACAAAACACAGGAGCTGAATAGTAAGTAGTAGTAGTAGTAGTAGTAGTAGTAGTAGTAGCAGTAGTAGAGTTAGTAGTAGTAGTAGCTAGTTTTAGTAGTCAGTCAGTAGTAGCAGTAGTAGTAGTAGTAGTAGTAGTTAGTAGTTCAGTGTAGTAGTAGTAGTCAGTAGTAGTCAGTAGTAGTAGTGTAATGAGTAGTAGTAGTTAGTAGTGAGTAAAAATAATTAGTAGTAGTAGTAGTATAGTATAGTAGTAGTAGTAGTTAGTAGTAGTAGTAGCTAGTAGTAGTGTAGTTGTCGTAGTTGGTAGTAGTCAGATTAGTAATAGTAGTAGTAGTAGTAGTAGTAGTTGTAGTAGTATAGTAGTAGTAGTAGTAGAGTAGTAGTTAGTAGCCAGCGCAGCAGCAGCAGCAGCAGCAAGCAGTAGTAGTAGTAGCCAGTAGTAGTAGTTTAGTAGTAGTAGTGTAGTAGTGTAGTAGTAGTAGTCAGTAGTTAGTCAGTAGTAGTAGTTGCTGTTGCCGTTGTTGTTGTTGCTGCCTGCATGTTGCTTGCTGTGCGCTGCCTGCTATCGCTGCTGCTGCTGTTGCTGCCTGTTGCTTGCTGTTGCTGCTGTGGTGCTGCTATCGCTGCTGCTTGCTGTTGCTGCTGTGCTGCTGTGGCTGCTGCTATCGCTGCTGTTCCCTGCATGCTGCTGTGTTGTTGGCCTTGTCAAATTAAATCGCCCAGCGACGTATGACTAGTTCCTTCGTATTTAATTTCATCGATGCTCTCTTAGTATGCATGTAGGAGTTTGTACATGTGAGAGTCAAAAATTACCTCAAAAAACCATCAACCCCAGCCTCGCAACAAATACACTGCTATCTTTGCAACCTTGCTGGCTAACTTAGTATATTAAATTTGGATTTTCAATATTTATCTGTTCCGATGTTAATTATCTTGCGTTTAGCTGTGTAACCCGCCAACGACGTATTCGCCTGTAAACACAATAGGCCGTGCTATCTGCTGATGGGAATACCTTTCAGTTTTAGCTGTGTAACCTGCCAACGACGTTGTCGCTATTAAACGCCATGCAGACCGCGTTGTATCTGTGATTGCACTGATTGATTGATGATTGATGCATGATTGCAGGAGCTGGTAAACTGACGATCATGGAGGTGCTGCCCCTCACGTCGCTCGATCATAGTCATTGACTTTGTGCAGCAGCGGTTGACGGTGCGTGGAGCGCCGTGCGTCGCATCTACTGCTGGAATCTAAGAGACGCAGTTTTCGTAAGCTTTCCCACACCACTCCGCTCTCTTTATAAAATGGTTTGAGTATCTAGTGTGACTGCCGGATGTGCGGTGGTGTTGTGTGGGAGCGAGGTGTGGGGAGGGTCGCTTTTGAGTGTGTGCTGCGTGTGCGCGCGGCGTGTGTGTGTGTGTGTGTGTGTGTTTGTTTTGGGTGTGTGTGTGTGTGTGTGTGTGTGTGTTGTGTGTGTGTGGTTGTGGGTGTGTGTGTGTGTGGTATGCTGTGTATGTGTTCTGCGCTGCTGGTGCCAAGTCAGGTTATCAGTGCCACTCGTGTTTGTCATAATATTAGTTGACATAATCTTTTGTTTGATTTTTACGCATTTACATTACAGTTTAATCACATATATGCGACGCAGCGTCGAATTACCATTAATAATTATTATATTGAATGCCTGCCTGTTTGGGGCACTATGCTCTCATAGTCGTTGCCTGCAGGGAAGAATAGCTGCCCGGAGCGCGTCAGCGAGCGGCCCACTATTCCTTCCCAAGCAACACTATGAGAGCAGTAGTGCCTCCCCACACCACGGCCATTAATGTTTTTTAGTGCATCACATGACTATGCAATCTACTTTCATGCGTATATACCTTCTTTATCACTCGCCTAATTTGCCTGGTGCCATTTCGATGTAACAAAACACTCACACAACACAATCGCCATTAATTCCAACAATCTGCGTTGGCGCCAGACGCAGGAGACTTTCGCTGACGTTAAACACATTGCGTTATTAATAACAATGCGTTCGCGCAAGCGATATGCCGCTCAGGCGGGCACTATCTCTTCCATAATGCCTGCTGCGTTATCCAATGAGATTTGCAGCGATTCATCACGTCATTGCACTAATTAATTATAATCAAGATGAGCATTTATATTACGACAGGTTTTGCTTTTTTAAATATTCGATCTCGTGTTCCATTTGATATTATATATATGT